TTGATTCGTAACAAAACTGTAGAAAGACATACTCATCTAAAAATAATAATAATAATAATAATGATAATAGTTTTATTAACGGATCACAATTGAAATATTATATATTCCTACTTGAATCCAAATGGTGTTTGCATATAAAAACTTAATTATCTGGAAGCCTAACAAAATTGGGATTAGGTACAGAACGTGGTAGCCAAAAATCCTGCTATAAATTATTAGGATTAAAAATCAGAATAAAAACCAACAATCGCATGAATCATATACCTAACCTTCCCTATACATTATTTGACTAAACTTTCTTAATTTCACCAACCAAAATTAAAAGCCTTTCTCTCCCCCTCTCCCTTATATATATATAAACCCTTCAAAGAATTAGGTGCTCTGTAAAGCCATTCTTTTCTACCATTCTCTGTTAGAAAAGGAAAAAGAAAACCGCAACAACACCAATGGCTCTACCAAACCCCGCCGCCGCCATGTCGTCCAAATCCGTCATTCAAACCCAAGCCACCCTCCTCCCAGCCGCCGCCGTCCACCGCATCTCATTCTCCATCGATCCCTCCGCCCGCCGCCGCCACCTCCGCATCTCGGCCGTCCACGCGGCCGAGCCCGCCAAAACCCCCGCCGCCGCCGCCCCCAAGACGGACGCCCGAGTTCTGTCTCCGCTGGCCCCGACGCCCGTCGGCGCCACGTGGGCCCCGGGCACCTGGAAGACAAAGAAGGCCCTGCAGCTACCGGAGTACCCGGACGAGGCCGAGCTCGAGTCCGTGCTGACGACGATGGAGGCTTACCCTCCGTTGGTGTTCGCCGGAGAGGTCCGCAGCCTGGAGGAGCGGCTGGCGGAGGCGGCGCTCGGAAAAGCCTTCCTCTTGCAGGGCGGAGATTGCGCCGAGAGCTTCAAGGAATTCAGCGCTAACAATATTCGGGACACATTCAGAATTCTGCTTCAGATGAGCGTCGTCCTCTCCTTCGGTGGCCAATTGCCTGTAATTAAGGTAATTTATTTATTTTTTGCATACATCAAATTAAATTGAAACAAAAAAAAAATGATTTTTTTTCCATTCTTGTTTTGCGAAGATCCTTGTTTTGTTTATGGAGTTAGGTTCCTCAAATGGTTAGACAGGTGATATATAGCTGTGAAAATCCAGATGGTGTAGTAATGTGCCTTTCTTGTTTGGTGCATAAATTTGAAATCTTTTAGGAGAAAATAATAATTGGAGGATTACTGAATTTAGTTGTGCACCTTATGCTTGTTCTGGTGTAGTATGATAAGCAAAACAATGTGACACTTGATCTATAACTAGACAGTGTGGTGTTTATCATCTTTATGTCACTGTAGCAGGGGATTTCCATATAAGCTTTGGCAAAGTCAATGTCATTTTGGAAAAAGAGAAAAAAAAAAAAAAACACTTTTTAAAAAATTGGATAGTTTGCTGAGAATATCCTACATGCCATATCATATCTCTGTAAAGTAGAAATAAGATTAGTACACAAACATCCTACACTAGACTCAAGTTTGTCTACATAAATTTGCTAATATACTTTTCCGGGGGGAAAAAAAAGAAGAAAAAATGTATTCTTTTTTTATTAGAAAATGTATCTTTCTTTTCTTTCTCAAATTCATTTGCATGTTAAATCATAAACTTTGTACATATAGAATTGTTTGACAAATTCTCTCAATGTTTTGGTAGCCGAAAGATTGAAATTAA